GTGTAAACGGGGAGGTGGGCCATGCATCCCCTCACGTACAACCAAAATCAGCCAGGCGGGCATCAGCACCAATAACTGATCTGTCCTGAGGGAATAACCCCTCCTGAACCCAAATGGCAACGCTTTGAGCTACACGACACCCTCAGGCAGGGGCCTGGGGGATTAAAAGAACAATCAAGATTAGGCACCAACACAGTAAAACACTCCAGCCCATTAGAGCTGCCCCCAGAGCATCAGTGGGCACATGAATACAGCAGGGAGGCTGTGCAAGCCAACAATCCAGCCTCCTTTGAACTTGCACAAACGCATCCATGCAGTTTGATGTGCCTGAACGGCCACAAACGGATCAACCTCAATGCCTATCAACTGCAGACATGCGGTTCTCTCCTTCAAAACGTTAATCTTTGTAACAGTGAAAATACATCGGACAAACTCCAAGAGTCCTCGCTAACCCCTGCCACAGGAGTAGGAAAGAGGCTTCACAACGACCGTTACTGCCCCCGGTTCCCTGCCACTTTGCAGGCATTGAATTCAGTTCATTAAATTCCTTGTTAATTAAGAGTAATGTACCCATCCACAGCAGTTGCTCTGGTAGCTCTTCTAAGCTGAGGATTAATTTAGCCCTGCTTCTGCAGCTTTGAAGTAACACCAGCCACGTAGAACTTTTCATTTTCATGGGATGAGAGGGTTAAATTAGAACCCTGGGAGCCAAGAAAAGCCAAGCTCAGAACATCTGCTGCATCTCAAAGGCCCATCTCGTATTCTCAGGTACACAAGATAGCAGAGAAGTATCTGTGAGCTCCTTAGGTAAGGGATTTCTTATAGAAAAGAGAAATCTGAACAATTTTCTAGCCCCTGAAACCATGGGATTTGTGTTTCCTGCAAGGAGAGGGTGTGGAATCCATCAGCTGCTGTGAATTGGAAGCTTCCAGAAACCCCCTGATTGCTTGCCCCACTTCAGGTGAACAAAGTGCAGCCAATACCATCCTCTTCAGCCTGCATTGTGCCCACTGTTTCCAGCTCCAGCTGCTCCTTTTGTTTCATCAGGAAAGTGAGACTGTGAAACCAAGAGATGAAGATTCCCTTGGGAGCACCAGTCACGAGTCCAGGGATGACCATCTAATGCTCAATCACACGTCTCACAAATGCCATTGCCTCCAAAATAGACCAGAGGTGCCAAAAGAAGTTCCTGCCACCGTTTTTCCAGTGAATTTCAATACGTTTGGTGTTCTCAGTGTAACATCCTGCAGTGCAGTGACAGTGGGGATGGTTAAACAAAGGGAATTTCCTATCAAATGACCCAGCTAGAACAGCACAGTGAGCAACTGACACCGTCAGCATTCTGATGCAGTAAGAACTGGGTAACCCCTCTCTGCAGGTAGCACAGAGCTGCTCTGCAGGGCTGCAATTCCCTCATTAACCATTCGAATAACTAACTTGGCAGGTGCAGACTGCAGTTGTGTTGAGACAGGTATTGTGCCATGCTAAGTCCTCCCAATGCACTGCTGAGCTCCTGTTAGTCCCACGGGTACTTTGATTAATGCTTCAGTCTCTGAGCACTTCGGAATTGCAGTAAAGAGAGGATCAGACTGCAGGTCCATCAGACCGCATCCCAGCAGTGCCCCTCTTGTCCGAGAGGTGCCAGACGGGCAGCACATTGCTTCAGAGACCACAACAGGCACACGCTTCACTTGGAGCTGTGTTGCCAACAAACAGGTCTATTTTTCACTCTGCTCACGCTCCTTTAAGGCAGCCTTATATGTACCATATACAGCCCCTGGAACGTGTCAGGTACTGCTGCCTATGCCCAAAATTGGGATGTTTCTTCACTCCCGAAACACTCTTGCACACAGACACAAAACCACTCCAAGTGACTTTGCCCACAGCTGAACGTTGCAAGTGGAACCCGACAGCTATTAAATTGGTGTAACACTGCTCCTGAGTGTCTCGGGAGTGACGGATTACCTCGGGAAGAGACTGGTCAGCAGCTCCTGCTCAGTTTCCATGCTGTAACACAGGGGTCTGCACATAAACCCCTGTCTCTGCCTGATTATGATCTATGAGGAAATCTTTGCTGTGATTAACTGCATCACTGGTACAAGGAGCGAGCAGGCGGCTTACCAGCACTTTGTTGTGCTCTGATCAACCCAGCAGTGATTTAGCCCTGCCAGCAGAGATGGAATTTGAAACACCCCAGATTTTGTCCTTAAAACCGCTGCAGCTTGTTCAATACGGAAACCTGGCAGAAAGGATGCAACGCAAGCTGAACTTTCCCTATGTGTTCTTAAGAAGACATAGATGAGACTTGAAAATGTTCTGCCATTCAGTTATGAAAAGGTTTCCATAGAAACTGCCATGCAACGTGACTTTTTGTTACAAGCACGCTTAGTGAAGTGCCTTAACTTCTACACGTTCATTCCGTTTTCAGGGAGAGCACAGAAACCCCATTCCCTTCCTGTTTTCCAGGTTCTCTGGCTGAGGCTGCAGCAGCGACACCTTTTGACTTGGTCGTAGAGACTTCCGTGGTTAAGCTGCAATGGAAACAAACACACATGAAGAGGCTGTTAGGATTTTGCAGGAATGACACCATGGAGTTTAATTGCTCAACCTTGAATCTCTCCCAGCTGCACACGATTTGCATACCGTGTGCCAAGAGAACTGATACGGGGAGCAAATGAATTGCTGAAGCTTCAGGAAAGTGGGAGACTGAAAATAAGCAAGTGGCAACTATTGGCCCAAGCTCCCTGTTTCCTGCAGTCTCAGTGCCAACCTATCTCAGTGTCTGCCTGCATTACCTCTGGGAGCACTGGAGGAGTTTTAAACCCAGCACAATCCAACAGCACTGCCCCAACCGGAGCCATTTCACAGTCACACAAGGGTTGTGTTGGAAGGGGGCTCTGGAGCTCATCCAGTCCAACCCTTGCCAAGGCAGGGCCACCCAGAGCACGTTACACAGGAACGTGGCCATGCTGGGTTTGGGATGTCTCCAGAGAAGGAGACTCCACAAGGCCCCTGGGCAGCCTGTGCCAGGGCTCTGCCACCCTCACGGTACAGAAGCTCTTCCTCGTGTCGAGGTGAAACTTACTGGGTGTTAGTTTATGGCCGTTGCTCCTCATCCTGTCACTGGGCACCACTGGGAAGAGGCTGGCACCATCCTCCTGGCACCTGCCCTGGAGCTGTTGATGTGCATGGACGAGATCCCCTCTCAGGCTGCTCTTCTCTGCACTAAAGAGCCCCAGCTCCTGCAATCTCTCCTCACAAGAGAGGTGCTCCAGATCCCTCAGGATTTGGCTACCTAACCCAAGGCTGCCCCATTGTTCAGTGGTGGGACAGTGAGTGGGGCTGAAGAGCAGACACTGCCGCTTGCATCACGGCTGTGCTGTGGCACCACCTCTTTCCGCACATACGTACTGCTGGAAAAAGTGCTGAGCTGGCAGCCTTGGAGGCCGAGGTTATTCCCTTTCCCCATGGAGCAGCTGCTGTACTTGCTCCTCACGTTCCACTGCCAGGGCTGGGGTGCAAAGGGTCCTGCACGGTGCTTTTTGGGCCAACCCTTTCCCTTCCTCGCTATCACTGGGTTTGTTCTATGAGTGGCACTATCAGTGGGGAGCACTTGCTTGGGCAGCGCTCCAAGAAGCGGGTGCTTTTGCCCGTGTCAGCTCTAAAGGGTAGAATAAAGGAGAACAAAACTCAAGTGGTCCTGCTGGCTGCTGAGAGCATCTTCTGCTGCCATAACAACAGGGGAGCTCTTCCACAATATTCAGACAAGGCCGCTAGGACTCCTCTGGGAGCTGAAGGGGAAGCTTCCACATCTAATACATGTTCCACGTCTGCCCTCACATTCATCCTTCTCTCCTGCTCAGGGCATTGCTATGGACTGTCTCTTTCAGATGGGCATGGAATGGTGCTGCATTACAGCGAAAGCCTTGGTTACATGGAGAGGAGCTGATGATTTGAAGGCAACGCGTGTACTTGAGACGTTTCTTTTCCTTTGGCATGTTCTTAGCTGAGCTGTTTACTGCAGATCTCACTGGAGGATGAGGCAGATGTGCAAAGTCCACGTGCCTCTTTGTAAGCTCCTGTTCACACCGGGCTGGAGAGGAATTCCTGCCAGTTCAAGCTCTTCCCAGGCAGAGGCTCTGCATTACTCCAGCCTCAAAGAGCACCAGCCAAAGCAGGCACCGTCTATCAGCGGGGCAGAAGCAGGGAAACAGCCGGCTTTTCCACCGCTCAAACCAGCAGCGTTCCTGCGCATGCCCTGGCAAAGACACCAGTTATGTTTGGCACCTCACTAACAAGGCAGGGGTTGGAGGACTTCACTCTTGGACTTGAGCGTCTGAATTCCATGGTAGCCTTGGCTTCAGACCTGCAAGTCCTTGTGGGCCAAGGTCCTTCCGTGACTCAGTGCGGAGCACATAAAGCAGGGAAAATAATTCCCTCTCATCTGTGAGTGCAGCTATGAGCACTGCAAACGAATCTGCGCTCGCATGCAGCCTCCTGGGTTACCTGCACTCCCTGCACTCCATCCAGGACTTCTCCATCCTGGTTTCTTACCCCTTTGCCATGTTTGCTGCCAGCTCACTCCCGTAATTTGTACCCCGACAAACACGTTCTCTCCTCATCACCATTTCTGGGTCACTTCACAGAATAAAGCCTTCGAGAGCCAGAGAGCTCCTTTTGACCACTTATAGTCACAGCCAGCGCTGCGCATGGGAACACCTCATGAATTCTCATCTGTCTTCCCCGCCGGTGCCAAGGGCAAGGGGAAAGATAATATTTCACGGCTTAACCCCACTGGTTTATCCCTACTTCTGATCATGACAGTGTCCTAAGGAAACAGAAGAATGGCCCAGACTGCACTTGGAATTATCTGCTAACTAATGCTAAGGAAATTCATTGTTACTTCCACACAGGAAACCTTTAAGGATGCTCGAAGAGGTCAAGATGGAGAGGTTTATGGGCAGGATTTTAGTAATGGAGCAGAGGATTTCTCCCCTGCAAATAGGCAGAAAATACTGTAATATAAATCAGTTGTGATATTTACAGAAAACAAGTGTGGAAAAGCAAGCATTCCTCATGTAAACACGTCAGAAAGGACTTCTTCATGTTCCCCTTTGCAGAGGGGGGCAGTGGATGAGTATCGGCTAATGAGAAACAGATGTCTTCCTCAGAAGAACCACTTCACCATCACAGAATATATGTGGCAGTCATTGAGAATTGCTAACATGTCTTCTCCCTTCCCTCCCCCCAAGAGTTTCCAGTTCAATAAATAGTAGAAAAATAATCCTTTCCTTAAAAATCTTGAGCTGCGTTGTCCCAGGTTCCATGCAGCAACCGGAGCAGGGTCCTTTCGACGTGCCAAAGGAACTGCAGTGAAACCAAGAGCCTTCCCCTCCCCATGCCTCTATCTGGCACTTCTTTAGGCTTCAGCTGCACAGATTCCTGCTCTTCCAGTTAAGGAAACCAAATCATCTCTGGCTCTTCCCCGCTCTCTCCTCTTGGCTCAGCAGGACGGGGCTTCCAAAGCTTCAGCTGCTCTATAAACTCACGGTCCCTTTCTGCAGGTCTGACGTTCCTCCTGCTCCACCTTATTAAAGGTGATGGCAGGTCCATCCATCCAACCCATTTCCCTCCCGTTCCAGAGCCAGCCTTACATTTGTACAAATGTAAAGCTCTTATTCCTAACAGTTTACTTGGGAAGTCAGTGAAATCAGCCCTGGGGAAAAGCACAGGAACAGAGCTGCCCGTGGCTGCATGGATCACGGCTCAGGAGTGAACGCTCCTTTCCTCGCTGTCCGTCAGCATTCCGCATCCACAGTGTGTACCGTGACTGCAGCCTGCAAGTGGTGGCTGTGGTGGAGAGTTGGGTGGTGCAACCGGTAGTGGTGAAACTTGTGACTCAGCAGGGCAGCTGTTTGAGGGGGGGTGTCCAGGTCCAAGTCTTCCTCGTGGTTTCCAACATCCACACCAGCCGACAGCGGGTCGTTATTGCACGGAGGGTTTTCACTGTCCTCCTGAGGGCTCATCGTGCTGTAGCCTAGGAAAGAAACCAGCAGGACTAAGAAGCTGAAACAAGAATAAGAGCTCAATGTTTCACCCAGAGGAGCTGTGGCTGCCCCAGCCCTGGCAGTGTTCAAGGCCAGCTTGGACACAGGGGCTTGGAGCAAGTTTTTTCATTAACAGAAAAAGAAACAAACAAACCCATCCTCTCCTCTAAGTTCCCAACAGATCCCTTTCCCTGGCACCGTTATCAGCTCTGGGGACCTGTGGTCTGTAGATGATCTTTCGAGGTCCCTTCCAATCTCTAGCATACTGTGATACTGTGATACTGTGAAACAATGGCTTTCCTAGGAAGGAGCCCCAGCTCTTGGAGCTGGAAACAACAAAACTTCTTCACATCATCTTGCTGCACAATCACAGCATTACACCTTTAAAAGGAAGAGAGCACTTTCCACCCGCGAGGGTCTGTCTGCAAGCCCCAAGCACATGGTTTTAATGAGCTCTCCATCCACTTAAAGAAGCCTCCTGAATCCACACGGGAATGTTTCACACAGCCAAGCAGCACTGACACTTCCAGCTAAGCACGTGTGCACGGTGCAGTGAACTCGAGGCTGTCCCTTGGCTAAAGCAGCTGCTGCTGGAGTCTGAGAAGGTAAAACCCCCAAGAGGAGCTGCCTGTGGCAGCAATGAGAGGCTGCACTCAGTGGGATATCCTCAGGAAAGGATGCCAGCGGCCAGCTCACAGCCAACCCTCACAGGACAGGATCCTGCTCTCTCAGCGAGGAAGCCATCTCCCACCAGGGCCCCTGATCCCTCTTCTTGAAGCAGGTGCTGGGAGTTACTCTGAGATGACCACGAGATGTGGATTTACCACTGAAACCACCTGTTACCACTCCAATCCAGCTGGCAGCACAAACAAACCCACCTCAGTGCTTCTGAGTGCAAAAACAAAAGCTAGAAATGAAAAAGACCTTCTCTGAATTCACAGAATCATCCTTCTTGGGAACCTTTGGCTATAGCTGAAAACCCACCAGGGCTCCTGAGCATCTCGGTCAGGTTTCCAGCCTGAGACCCCTAAAAGAAGCGCGTTATAAATATCACGCTGAGGACCCAAAGCTGGTTCTCGTTTCCCATGCTCTGAGGCCTGGTTTCAGGCTGGCAGACAGGACCTGAGGAAGACGACTCGGCAGCCCTTTGAAGAAGATGGAATGACAGGAACTAAAATTAGAAGGGCACGTTTCAGGAAGAGGTGGGCAGTTCCCTGCTGACCCTGACGTGGTGACTCCAGAGGTGGCAAGGATTTGCTAGGACTACAAGTAATGGAGCAAAAGGAGCACGAGCCTAACAAATCTGCCTCCACACAGGTCATCTGGCCCCAAATCGGGGTAATTCCTCCTAGAGCAAGACTGTCTCTCAGACATCTGCTCATCCCCATTCCAAAGCTTTGGCCTTTACATTTCCTGTACCTCAGCAATTCCATTAATGCAACCAGAGTCTTAATAACTGAAGAGCTCTGCTGTAGCATACCCAGCCACAACATGCAGCTAAGAGCTGACATCTGTCACACACCGCCTTGTCCAACCCTCCTCTTAATTTATATTAAGCCTCCTGACTCAACAGCATTACACCCTTCTGGCAGCTTCCAGGGTTTAAGGAGACTTGGTCTCAGGGCACAAGAGACACAGCAACGCTCCCTGAACCTAAGCAGGGTTGAAGTGTGCACGTGGCAAACACGCATGGCTGAACACCCTTCATTGCTATGCATGTACACAGTTCACGTTGATCACTGCTTGCTTAAAGGTGATGTAAGATGTCCTCTGTGGTGATGGCATGGACTGCAATAGATGGGCAATATACATGGACTGCAATCATGTGCAATAGAAAGGCTAAGGAGGCACCTGACACAATCAGTCTCTAAATCCACCCTTATCTTACCCAGAAATTCAGGCATCCAGCACATGTTGCTGGAGTTTTCTGGAAGATGCACATGTCACGTCAAAGAGAAGGGCAGCAGAGATGCTGATGTGCCTGCAAGGGATTTGCCTTCCCTCTTTAAGTAGGAGATTTCCATTATCCCAGCTGAACATTTAGATTGCTAGGGCTGGTGATGCAAAATGAACGTGGCAGCTGCAGACCCTCTCTGTGGGTCTGAATTCTGGTGACCCAGCGAAGCTGCCTGAACCCAAAATCAGACATGGGGAGCAGGGCACTGAGCTGCTGCTGTACAGACCCAGCACCCTCAGCAGCCTGTCCCATCTGCTGGAGGGTGTCAGCACTGTCCAACTGTGAAGCAATAAGGAGCAAAGGTTTTTGGGTTGGTTTTGGCAGCCTCATCTGCAACGTGCCAGACACCTGAAGGCGAGCGAGGGAGCGCAGTCATTAACTTGGGGCCAGGGCAGTGCTTCAGCTCTTACCGTGGTCGCTCTCCGTCCCCGACCGCCCCCAGTACCGGCGCCTGCGTTCCGGGCTGTGGGCATGCCGCTCCATCACCGCTGCTATGAACCGGGTGTTGCTGACTGCGAGAGAGGAACAGACACAACTGGTTGTGAAGGGAGGGCTGGCCCTGGCTTGTAGCAGTGGGATAATCAGCACAGGGAGAGGCTTTCTGCAAACTCATTCTGCTCAAATACTGGTTCATAGAAGAAGATTGGCGAGAGACAGCGGAGGAGGAGTAAAACGAAGGTGTTTAAGTGTGGAGCAGATCAAGACTCAGTCAAACCCGCTCACCTCACCTGCTTGCATTAATAGAAGTTACAGCATTACTGTGTCAACACTAAAGAACCTGCGGCAGCACTCAAAGCCTGCTCAGAATGAAACTGAGGAATTGGAGAAGCAGAGACCGAAGCCACGAAACTCAGGCACACTCATTGTTCAGTCTGAGTGCTGACACAGTTTCAAAGCGTGGGTATCACTTCAGCTCTCAGCGAGGGCCCAGAGACAAGGATCTGCTCTGTCCCTGGAGCTCTCCCAGTTCAGATACACCAGCTCCTCTTACAGCACGTCAGTACCACGCTCAAAGTGCCGGTTTTCCTGACGGCTAAAGGAGTACGAGCACCCCAAATCAGTGCAAGTAAGATTTCCTGCCCCGTTTGTTGAACACGCACGCCAGACTTGGCCTCTGCTCTCCAAGGCAGAACAAAGGTGGGAGTTTTCCATACCCTGCTCTGTCACAATTCTCATTTCTCAGCTGATCAGAGCTGTTTCTGGAGGTGCTCCTGATGAGGGGCACACGGGGCAAACCCCCTTTGCACATAACCAAAGCTGAAAAGGAGTAAGTTTTCAGCACGACGCTCAGGGTGCACTGGAAGTTCAAGTCAGAACATGGTTCTGTCTACTGCTCAGAGAGATTTGGTACTTACTGATTCCTCTGTCTTCGTGGCTGTCATCGTCTCTCTCGTCCCTATCATTTTCCAGGTTGGACATACGCACTGACATTTCTACACACCATTAAACACAGAAAAATGCAACTGTTAAAGAGAAAAATTGGGGATCATCTTACTAAGGGCTGTCACCCTGGGAGGACAGTGGAAGCACTTGGCGTGGCTGGGTGAGGAGCTGCAGTCCCCTTGAAAGGAACAGGCTTTGAAACGCCTGAGGAAAGCAAAGGGATACAAAACAGAGCTGGGCTATAAGCAGATAGGGAGGTCATCAGCCCTCATCACACTTCTCACCTCGGCAGCTACCAGTACCCTTTCTCCCAAACACACTTTTGTCTCTCAGACTCCAGTGGGTCTGTCTTATCTACCCGTGTGTAAATAGTGCAGGGACATCACATGGACCAGAGGCAGAAACACCAGTAAAGAAACCACATCCTAAAGAGCCCAAGCAGAGAGGGTGTGAAAACTGTAACTGTCCCACAAGCTCCGCTCTTGTGCGGAAACAAACATAGGTCATGGGTGTGCCATGACAAGGGCCAGGAGGCTGTGAGGCTGGTTTCTTGTGCTAGCTCTAGGAAAAGCCTGCGTTCAGCTTCCGGACGAGAGCTGCGTGTTAAGGATTTCGGGTGGCAGCAGGCCCGGCAGCACCCAGGAGAGGGCAGCAATACACAGTGACCTGGATGGGAGCAGGCTGATGGAAGGGTTAGCTAAAGGGAAATGAAATGGGGTGAAGCACTGAAACAAAACCATGGAAAGAGGTTTGGGATATTTCTAGTTGGTTTTGTGTTGGGTTTTGTTTGCTTGGGTTTGGGTTTTGTTTTGTAGTTGGTTTAATTCCAAACCCTCCCATTTCTCTCTGCAGAGTTATCAGCTCACCCTGAGCAGCCAAAGGTGACATGTGCTGGTGACTCCTCCGATGGATCTGGTGCCGATACGCATACACTGCTAGGACAAGCACCATAATGCAGCCCATAATGCCTCCAGCCACCGGGCCGACGGGTGCACTCTTGATCATGTTCAGAGTGATCACCTCATCCCCTACAACAAAAGGGACAAAACAGAGGGGAAAAAAAGCCATAAACGCTCTGTGGAAATATTTAAAGGAACATCTCTGAAAATTATCCACTCACAGGGTCCCAGCCTGGTTTGGTTTGGAAGGGACCTTAAAGCTCCTCCAGCTCCAACCCCTGCCACGGGCAGGGACACCTTCCACTAGAGCAGCTTGCTCCAAGCCCCCCTGTGTCCAACCTGGCCTTGAACACTGCCAGGGATGGGGCAGCCACAGCTTCTCTGGGCACCCTGTGCCAGCGCCTCAGCACCCTCACAGGGAAGAGCTTCTGCCTAAGAGCTCATCTCAGTCTCCCCTCGGGCAGCTTAAAGCCATTCCCCTTCCCCTTGTCCAAAGCCCTTCTCCCATTATATTTATATCCCATATACATACATATATATATATATATATATAAAAATACTTATATAAAAATATATGCAGACACGTTATGAGAAACATGCTCTGACACTGAAAGCACATGTTACTGAGCACAGTTAAATGCAGCACCTATTCAGAAAGGCAGAGTTACCTATTGCTCCCAAGTCATCCACGTAGGGGCTCTTGGCTCCCACAATGCCACCGAAGCATTCCTTCTGAGGGGCACAGCAGGACTTATCCAGATGGGTCTTCCCATCGCTGTCGACCATACACCACTCACAGTCCAACACACCAAAGCAGTCCCTGAAAGTGAAAACCAAGACAAGACTTTATGTACTTTAAATGTTAACACTCCTTGTTTGACACAGCTCAGCCTATTTTAGAGTCGTGAGACAGAGGGAGGCCAAAATCATCCACGAGCCCTCACATACATAACGTTTGGCCACCAAACCCTTGTCATTCAACTGCTCAGGTACCACCAGGGAAGTTACGCAGGGAAGCTGCATCCTCAGCATGCATCTCCCAAGTCTGTTTGCTCTGTTTTTTTTCCTCCCTCACTCAGCCTGAGCAAATCCTTCTTGTAACCCCTCCAGCAAGACATTCCTCAGCGTGGTGAGGTCTGACTGTGGTTCCACCCTTTCTCTGCAGTCCTTTGGAAGACAGAAGAAAGCATTTGGAAAGTCCGGTCTGAGCACGAGGTGTTCCAGCAATCTCAGCTCCCTGGAGACCTCTTTCAGCTAGCAAAAGAACAACCAGCCCTCGAGCTTCTCTGTGTAATGCTGGAGTGGACCAGAGAAGCAAGAAGCTAGAAATGGACAGGGAGCTACCATCTCTGATGTGTTCCCAAGTCACCACTGCCAAAGCACAGTCTGCATTCCACGAACGCTTCAGCCCGCACACATCTCCAGCAGGCAGACAAACATCACAGCACCATCCATTTTGCTCAAAAGGAAGAATTTGTTGTCCTTTCAACAGCAAATCTTCCATTTGCAAAACCCTCAGTTCTCAGAGCCACAGAGTGTGACAGGAAGGCCATCTGGTTGCTGCTAATGGTGTCGTGCCACACAAATGGGAACCCTGGGGTCTTCTGTTTTTGTGCTGGAGCATAAAGTCACCACTGGTGTGGTGACATTCGTTCTGCTCCATCCTGCAGGGAGAAAACGCCTCAGGCATCGCACCGCGATGGGAACCCCGCCGTGCAGCTCTAACAGCAGCTCACCGCGGGGAAGGCTGCTCAGCCACCTTTCTCCTCCCACAGGAACACAGGGATTGCTCTGCTCTGCCTGGGACTGAGGAGAAAGCACTGGCAGAGCCTCCCTGCTCTCTTGGTACCCACCCCTTGACATTTCAGCCCTGGACAAGTCTCACATCTGTCCTCACTCCCCACATCCAGCCCAGGAGGAGGAGAAGCTACAGCAAAGCGAGGTTGCCTGGCAGTGCTGGGTTAATGCGTGGACTCAGTCTTAAAGGTCTTTTCCACCTAAACTGTTCTGTAACTCTTACAGCAAGCCTGGACCATCTAGGACTTGAAAAGGGAATGGACTAGAAACAGAAAGGAAACCTGCTCAGTGTCTTTTCTTGTCTGATGAGGAAAGATCCAGATAAAACCAAGGTCTCCTATCTTACTGATGACACAGAGATTGCACACTCGCCTTTCATAACCTCCTGCTTTAGCATTCCATTTTAACAGGGAGATCAATCACTCCTGTTTCACCCTCAGCCTTCCCATCCCTTCCTCTCCCTTTTCACCTCATCCCATGACTTTCCCCCATGTGATCTCAGGGAAACCACGTGGGATCTGTGCCCCTATCCCGAAACCAGAGTGCTGCAAGGATTTAATCCCTGCTGGTTTGGGCATCTCCCATTTCCATAGCTGCAGACAGCCACGCTGGGGAAGGCGAGATCAAGAGAATCGGTGCCTGCACAAGGGGGACAGGAGGAGGTTCATGTGACCACTCAGTGCTCCCAAAGAGCCCAGCGGGGTGGCAGCCTCCTGCCTGGGGCCGGCCAACACTTTAAAGGCTGGGATTCCCATGGCACTCTGCTGTGTAAAGCTCTGCCTACACAGAAACATGGAATGGGTTGCGTTGGAAGCGGCCTCAAAGATCACTTAGCTCCAACCCCCTGCCATTGGCTCATGGAGGCAGAGAGCAGCTATAACTTAAAGCAATCAGCTTCTCTAGATGGGACTGTGCACTTTAGGTATGCAAAGGAGTCATGAAAACTTGTAGCTGGAAAACGGGTGACTCCAGAGAGAAAAAGCTTTGTAGAGGTACATTAAAACCCCCAGATGCCTGCCAGACAGTTAGAAGAGCTGGCTCTTAGTACCTGTGTGCATGTACACAGAGCCTGTAAGCATCAGGTCCAGCTGCGTTAGAATGGTCTAACAAAGCAGTTAACAATATGCTTGAAATCCCTCACTTAGGGAATGAGGAAACAGAATAAAGCATCTGACCCTGTTGACTCTTAGCAGTTTTTAACTGGCAGGGGGAAGGAACGCCAAACCAGAAACCCTCATTTTCTTTGGTACACCATAAAAACAGATTAAAAAATACCCAAACCAAACCAGAAAACAACTGCAGGACGACACAAAACCACTTCCCTTCCAGATTTCAGGTTTAAAAGCAAACAAAGAAACAACAATGCCCAAATCCTCTTATCAAGTTACTCCAGATCCAAACCAGAGCCTACCCCTGCTCCCCCATGCTTAGGGAGGAACAGTTCAGTTCCACATAGTGCTAAATAAACTCAGACTACTTCTGCCTAGTGCTGTGCTATGTACTTCTGAGAAAAATATATCTAAAGTCTGTTTTAATAATCGTAGTTTTAATAATTAGAGCTAATACATCATCATGACATGCTCACAGGAACTAAATAGCAGAATGAAAACAAACAGAAGAGAATGGGAAGCGGGATCATTTAGTAAAGAACTGGGGGGGGGTTGCCCAGGAGAGAGCTTGGGAAGTAGCTCTGGGTCATCTGGTTAAAGAAAAGGAGAAGGAAAGGAAAAGGCTTTAGGTATTTCCTGCCTGGCAGCAGTTCCTCAGCTTACCTTAGTTTGTTTCCTCCGTCTTGGTTACAAACTGGTAGCAGGTCCATGAGGACTTTGTAGAAGTATCGCAGGGTGAAGTCAATGCCCATCACTGCCACTGAATGCCCCGAAGACATCTGAGCACTGCAGGGAGAGGAGGAAGAAAGGAAGCGGCTTTCATGGCTCTATTAATAATGGATATTTTAATTACTCAGTTCCCTACCTGACCTGGGACTGCCTTCCTTGCTGTATAAAGAACCAGCTCGAACCCACACCTCCATGCTGAAGCTCAGTTCACCCCCTTTGTGTTTACATCACTGAATCCTAAAACGGTTTGGGTTGGAAGGGACCTTAAAACTCATCCAGTTCCAACCCCTGTCACAGGCGCAGGAACTGACCCATCTCCCCATGGGCTCTCCTCCCTCCACTCTTACAGACACCCCACCACCTACAGACAGTTGATATTTAGCAACAGCCATTAGGGTTAAAACTCCCCACCGACACAAGTCAATGTAGGATGCGGCATCTGCATCTCTAGGCCCCGAATCCCCACCGCCTCACTGTGGTTGTGTTCTGCACTGCTCCTCTTTGCTCAGTCCCCAGCGTTGGGACCCGAGTATGAAGCTGCCATAGACCTGTTGCTAAATCCCTAAAATCCCACAGTGTAGGAGGGATTATGAATTTCAGCCCCAAAACACAGGACAACAATATTGATTAGGGCAGGTTAGGAAGTGCCTCTGTTAGGTGGTGGTGTGCAGGAGCCTGAGGCTGGACCCAATGATGAGGGAATCTCTGTCACCAGGTTTCTAACATCCAACCTCTCAACTTCTGCTTCCTGAAGCACTGGGATGGCACGGCCAGACCAAGCTACCTCTCATCCCTGAAGGATGCACAATGATCAGCTCGTCCTCAAATCCCCTGGTGTGCTGTTGTGCACCTCTGTGAGCCTTATGTTAATGGCAGAGGAGACACCTTTGACTTGCTGCTTCTTAAAATACTCTTCTAAATCATTTTATCTCTGAATCTGGGAAGGAAAATGCTGAGAAAAAGAAGACAGCGAATGGCACAGCTGGGCCACACAAAGCAGAGGCTGTTGGCAGCCCTTTAGCACATAAAACCAACTCTGTTTACTGGACTGGAGCTTGGTGGCTTTTAAGGAGGTGCAGTGAAGATGCAGACAAATCTGATTTGTAGATTTACAAATACAGATCCTAAAACCCTGCCTTTAACTTGGTTTTCACATTACCCATTTCAGAGAGAAGGAACGGGAACAGGATGACAGTGAAGCAGCACGGATACATTTAACTGTATATGGCAAGGCATCAAGCTATGAAGTTACTGCTCTGTCCCAACAGGGAAGAAGCCAACAGGAAAAAATGAAGGTGATGTTTACTGTCTACTCTTTATACAGCCTCATTCTTTCTCTAGACCACCATGATGACCCCTACTCATCTTTTGCCTCAGTTTTCAAACAGCAAAAGACACAAATATTGTAAACTGCAGTGATTTCTAGCCTTAGACAAACATTTAAAAGGATTTCATGTAAAGAAACCCAAAGCGTCACCAAGGACAGCATCCAAAGAGATTTCCAGTTACCCCCAGGAGCTTCCAGGGACTCCCAAAGGCTCTCGAGGTGTCCCCAACTACTCCACTTGCCCTCAGGGTCCCTTAGAAGGGTTCTCACTTAATCCCAGTTACCCCCAGCAGGGTTCTGGGTTGCCTTCAGGGGTTCCCAGTAGCCCCCAGTGGCACCCAGAGATTCTCAGGGGGTTCCCAGTTACTCTCAGTTGCCCCCAGAAAGCTTCTCAGTACATCTGGGGGTTCCCAGTTACACCCAGAGGCTCTCGAGGGGCTCCAAGTTGCACCAAGTTGAACCCCACAGGTTTTGGGTTGCCCTCAGGGGTTCCCAGTATCCCCCAGGGGCTCCCTATTGCTCCCAGCTCTCCAAACGGTATCTCAGGTATCACCCATGATGAGCACAGGGACAATGGGACCATGGGGACACGGTGTGGCACGTGGGGACACAGTGGGACGCTTGCGGACATAGTGGGGCACATGGGGACACAGTGGGATGCATGGGGACCATGGGGACCTGGGAGCTGGAACTCCTGGGACCGCTCGGATTAAATCCTGCCTTTAGGCAGCCTTTGGCTTCAGTGTGTTCATTTGCTCCCCCTTTCCCTGGTTCCTCCCTCACCAGCAGCCCCTCTCCTTGGTCCCGATGGCAGCAGCAGCTCTGGGCGAGAGCTGC